CTGTCTGTCTGTCTGTCTGTCTGTCTGTCTGTCTGTCTATTCTATCTCTCTCTCTCTCTCTCTCTCTCTCTCTCTCTCTATCTATCTCTATCTATATACCTACCTACCTACCTACCTACTCAACCATCTGGTTATATGGTTATCTAGCTAACTATCTAATTTATACCCAGCTTTCTATCCATGGCACACACAAAAGTATACAATGTAGTTGGGAATTCTGTAATACCCTGAGAACAACTATGTATGGAATATGATTCCAATATAACCAGGTCAACACCTTATCCTTGAAGAAACAAAGTGAAATTCTAATTTCATAAATATTCACCCATTTGGGGAGTCCACTCTGTCAAGGATCCCTAATTTTATGGGAACACATTTTCTGATCAGAATGACCCATATTTCTGGTACAAGATTCATCACCCCAAATTCAAGAGTTACTAGCTTGCAAATAAGGGCCCTTCCCTGGCTACTGAATTCACCACCACGGTCACCATCATCATCATTCCAAATTTTCCAACAGAAGAATGATAGAGCAGTAGTTAGAAAAAGCACAGTACACAATCACTTTTGTTTCACATATTTATTCCACTTCTGTACCAGGGTACATACACATGGGCTCTTGTAAACTCAAAACCATAAAGTTACAAATAAAACCTTACTGCCATCTAGTGATAGATTTGGCATTCAGCACATCAAAATCTACAGTTCCAGGCAGTTTGCACCAGCCTAGCACAACCTGATGCCATTCAGACATGCTGAACTAAAGGTAATTCCCCCATATTTCCACCTAGCATGGAAGACTGTAGGTTGGGGGACGCCGACCTATACATTTCCATTAAAGTATTCTCAACTAGGGAAATACAATTGCTTTAATTTAGCCAGAATTGATAATGTTTTAAGAGCATAAAAGCATAATCCACCCAAGACCCATCTTATTCCAATATTTTATTTCTCACAAAATGCCTCTGGGATGCCCTTATGTAAGAGATGAAATATTTCCCTCCCCTGCAATTGGCATTTGGACAAAGGATGCTCCGACCCTGTAGGTGATACTGAGTTTCAGGATTAATGCCCTTGATGGACCTGCCTTCCATGAGGACATCCAATCCCTTTTTAAAGGAGTTTAAAGGGACTCCATTAAAGGGACTGCATTTAAAGGAGTTCTTACAGATGCCTCATTTTTAAAATATTTAACCTAACTGTGCTGATGGTAACCCATAAAATCTGACCAGGATAAAGACTTGTCTATGTTTTAGATTTAGGATATTGGTGAGAGAAGTTGCTACAGGTAGTCCTTGGGTTATGATGGCAATTGGGACTGGAATTTCCATCGCTAAGCAATGCAGTTGTAAAACATGACATTGTGTGACTGCATTGCTTAGCGATGGTAATCCTGGCAGTCCTAGTTGCCGTCGTAACCCCAGGTCCACACAGGTCATTAAGTAATGACCTCACGTGACCATGATGTGGGAAGAGGCGGGAGTCCCAGGCAAGCAGGCTGGTGGGTGGGTGGGCAAGTGCCACAGGTGGACCCTACAGGGCGTGGATGAGTGGGTACTGCAGGCAGGTACTACAGACCATGGGTGGGCAGGTGCCATGGGCAGGCACTACAGAGCGTGGGCGGGCAGATGGGCGGGTGCTGCGGGTGGGCACTACCCACTCCCATGGGTGGAAGGATGAAAAAGCAGCGGGAGTGGAAGTGAATTCCGGGAGCAACTTGCAACCTCCTGCCAGCTTCCTCATTGACTTTGCTTATGGGAAGCTGGCAGGGAACTTCACAAATGGTGATCAAGTGACTGCAGAATGCTGCAACTGTTGTAATTGTGAGCCAGCTGCCAAGCACCTGAATCATAGTCATGTGACCGTGGGAACACTGCAATGGCCGCAACTTCGAGGACCGGTTGTAAGTCCCCCTCATTCAGTGCCATCGTAACTTTGAATGGTTGCTGAATGAGTGGATATAACCTGAGGACTTGTCAGGTTCAGCCCAAAGAACTCCACGAGACAGTACAGGTCTAGTTCAATAGCTTTTATTAGCTTCCAACCACAAGACAGAACCTTGCCAGACTAAATCTAAACTTCTCAAGCCAGCAAGCAAACACCACGAATTCCTTAGGGTGGTGCCAGTCTCATCTTCTTAACCTTCCCATGCTCCTGCTGGGGGCTAAGGAAATGCTTATCTCCCCAAGTGCGGCCTTTACCAAACCATTCCATCACAGGACTATTTGTACCAAAAAGTCTTCTGAATAAGCTAAGGCAACAAAACACTGGGGTTGAATGTTTTAGGTCTTTCTGTGTGACTAGATCAGTGTCTCTTAACCTTGGCAACTTTAAGATGTGTGCACTTCAACTCCCAGAATTCTGGTCTAGATCAAGGTTCACTGTTTTACCTCTCTGAAAACCAATCAAACTTACACATCAAGGAGAGAGGCCTATATTTGGTGATCAGCCCTTCAAGGTAAATCAGACTAAGAATCCAATGTCATGTAGGTCAGTACCACTTTTATTGTAAGGTTACGGTAACAGAATCTTGCATGTCTGAATGCACTTCTCCCCTCCTTCCCTTTATCTTAGTGCAAACTAGGGAGGGGCTTGTCTGAGATGTTTACTCATGTTACATTCCTGCCCTGGACACAGGCATCTTTTATCTGAGTGTTGTCTTTTTAGCGGCTCTTCCTCCTGTACCACAAGGCCATTCCCTCTGTCCTCTGCAGGCAGAAGCTTCCTTTAATTAAAAAAAAAAAAATCACCTGGTCTTTAAAGAGTTTTAATTCCTACTCATTGTTTTTCATTATTTGGATGCTTTTAAACCCAATTACACATTGGTGAGTTTTACATTGCTCAGAGTTGGAAGACTGGAGCAACCGATAAATCCTGCAAATAAATAACTAAACAAATAATCCCTACTTGAATTATTTTATTATTAGTTCTAAATATTGCATTGCATTGTATTGTACTGATATTTATACGAATGATCACCCTGAACTTCAAAGTTTTGATTCCTTAATCAATAATCAATAAATCAATAAATTGCTGCCATATGTCAAAGAACATATGGCGGGAGGGGAATGCAGGGAATGGAAACCTGTTCAGTACTTTTGTTCTTTAAATAGGTTGTTTCCATGATCCCTTGATTGTGACTGCTACTGTTATCGCATGTGACTTTGGATGGAACTGCACACTTCTTAAATCAGTTTGCATCAAAACTTGCACAATCACTATTTTTTTTTCTTCTATAACTCTTCGAACTTTGTATCCCTTTGTTTCTTCTGTGCCCTTTGCAATACCCCCCAAAAAATCTACTTGGATAAAACTATTTCCTTTATGCTCTTGTATCTTTTCCCCTATTCTGGGAGAAAGAAGTTTAGTGAACTGAAGGAGAGGTGTACAAATAATGAGCTTAGATTCCAGGAAATACAGTATTCCCATGCTCCACTATAAACTCTAATCCTGTGTAAAACATAATTCATGATTCACAATATAAATCACAATGGGGATGTCGCCCTCTCTAAAACAAAATCTGCACCCAGCTTTTTAGCAAAGGATATGAAGAGAGCAAATGTCAGTAAAGTCAGAGCAATACATGTGTCTCTTGTGTTTTGTGCCAAATCCCAAGCACACCTGTAACCAAAAAAAACCCCAATCAAACATAATTTCTTCCACTTGAATTTCCCAAAACACTGAGACACCAGAAAGAGGGGGTTTTTTTATGTAACAAAAGACTTCAATTCAGTTTTGTGTGCTAGAATGAACTGAAACTATCTAACTTATCTATGAATGTAGCCTTCCCCAAATCCTAGATGTGCTGGACTTTAACTGACATAGTTTCCAGTCAACATTATAGGAGCTGAGGGTCAGCACATGTGGAGGTCACCAGGATGTATAATCTAATGCACAATGGGTACTTGAGCATCAGCTTGAGTTTTTATTTCTAGCGATAAGTTAACATGTACAATTCTGTATTGTAGGAAATAACTTCAGATATATCCATTATGGGGACGGCCAATGCAATGATTCCACTTACTTCAGATATATCCAGCAAGAAGGAGACTGTGTGCATTTTTGGAACAGGTGATTTTGGAAGATCCTTGGGCTATAAGCTGATGCAGTGTGGCTATTCCATTGTATTTGGAAGCCGAAGCACTCAGAATTCTGGATTGATTCCTCAGGGAGCCACAGTGCTATCTCACACAGAAGCTGCTGAAACATCTGACATTATCATTATAGCAATCCATAGAGTACATTACAGCTTTCTTGAAAGCCTACGAGAAACCCTCAATGGAAAAGTGCTGGTGGATGTGAGCAACAACCTTAAAATAAACCAGTATGCAGAATCAAATGCTGAGTATCTTGCCCAGCTGCTTCCAGGCAGTAAAGTGGTCAAAGCATTTAACACAGTGTCAGCATGGGCTCTGCAGTCAGGCGGCCTGGATGCAAACAGACAGGTAAGGGCATCTCTGTTGGAAGTTGAAATGTCCTCTGTGCGCCTGTCCTGAGAGTGGGGATTTGGCCTGAACAATGATTGGTGAATCAGATTTTGTAACTGTCACTGCAAGGAGATTTATTTACAAAAAGCACATTATACAGATATTGAAAGCCTATCTAGCTATACCCCAAGAGGAGCAGAATCCAAGAGCACATGCTCTGTGCCTGTGTGCCTGGAAAGGAAGGCAGTAGGAGGTGACCTCAGATTAGCCATCTCTCAGGCAAGGAAGAGGCAGAGTAATAGACAAAAAAGGGATTCAGAGTAAATCTTTAACTGTCTATCCATACCCTACCGTCCCCTTCTGGTCAGTAGGTCATGAGGTGCTGAACAGTCAGTGCCACTGGATCCATACCTCCAACAAAGAAGATCACATTTAATAAAAGATAACATAAACATTTAAAGACTTTAAGAACTTAATAATTTAACAGGAGAGCCCACAGAATGAATCTAGGTCATAAACTTTGGTCCAAAGGGTCTATTCTTATCCCCCAAAATCCTCATTCTGGCTAATTCCAGTTGTAGCCAAAATTCTGGCCAACTTTCTCAAATGTTAGCTAAGAAGCTAAGAGCAGTACAAGACATCAAAAAGACTGACTCACTCGGATAATTTCTTTTTGGTTTCTTTGCTTATTTTTTACTGCAGTTGTGGAACTTTATTTTATTTTGCTGCTGCAGGTGTTCATCTGTGGAGATGATAAAAAAGCAAAAGAAAAGGTGATGGAGATTGTTCGAAGTCTTGGTCTTACTCCTTTGGATAACGGCTCTGTCTTAGCAGCAAAAGAAATTGAGAATTACCCTTTACAACTTTTCCCAATGTGGAGATATCCCATCTACCTTTCATTTGCTCTCAGCGCATTCATCTTTTTATACAGCGTGGTCCGTGATATCATCTATAATTATGTTGAGAACGGCAAAGATAATTCCTTTTTTATTGTTGTTACAATTGCAAACCGGGTCTGCCCTGTTGTGGCACTCATCCTTCTTGCATTGGTCTACTTACCCGGGATCTTTGCAGCTATTCTCCAGTTACACAGAGGTACCAAGTACAGTCGCTTTCCAGATTGGCTGGATAAATGGATGCTTTGCAGGAAACAACTAGGCTTGATTGCCTTGGCTTATGCTTTTCTGCATGTTTTATATACACTGATCATCCCCATTCGCTACTTTGTAAGATGGAGGCTCAACTCTTTTGTCCTTCAACAGGTAAGACAATCTCACGCACTTTTTTCTCTCATTTCACTATCTGGGGCAATACTGGAAGAAAAGCACAAAACATACTTTTACTTGCTTTCCCCACTCTAATGCAGACATTCAAGGAGGAAATGAGGTGATGGAAAGGATGCAAACCATGTAGGAAGGCTCTGACAGTTTCCTAGACTTACTTGAGTGTAATGTGAGCAGGTAGAGAAATCACTTTCTGGGGGGGAGGCGGGTGTGTGTTTGTCAAGTTTTTTCTATCATAAAGAACCACCCAGCACTGAAGATTGTGCTAACTTGACCAACACTGATAGAAGAGAGCGAGTCCTTGATGTCCTCACCTTTTCTTTACCATTAGTGCAGTAGTTTTATGCCCAGTTAAAGAAAACGCCTTACTAACTTCCTAAAAAGAATACAGATGTCACAATGTCGATTTTTTAAAAAAAATTGATTGCTGCAATATTCCTAATACTGGAAAGCAAATACGACTTTCATTTACAAAAACTGCCAAGATCATCTTGAACAGATACATTACACAAGACAATCTATGGCTCGCAAGATTTACTAAATTTGAACTCCCCTCAGACATACGGGGGAGCAACATGTTGCAGATCTGTTCTGAAATTGTACATATGCATGTGGATTTATACACATACTCACCCATGCATTTCCTTTTTCACCTTAAGGCATTAAACAACAGAACAGACCCATTGTGGACTGGCACCGCCTGGCATAGCGATTGTTACCTTGCTTTTGGAATCTTAGGGTTTTTCCTGTTTGTTCTCCTGGGAATAACATCCTTGCCTTCCGTCAGCAACAGTGTCAACTGGAGAGAGTTTCGCTTTGTGCAGGTAAGATGCTGTTTGGCTAGTAAATTCACCGTGTCCTCATCTTCCTTTGCCTTACATTACTATTGGGTGTAAACCCACTCACTAGGATGTATCTTAATCTTTGGAGGGTTGTTTTCCCCTCCCCCCCTTCTGCATTTTTTTTTTGGGGTCTGCGCTCAGTCATTGCTGACCCTGCAGTGACTGCTTGGACGAGTCCTTGCAGTTTTC